TGGGATTAATGAAGTCATTACCTTGATAATTACAAGTTTTCCGACCTAAACTCTTTTTTTCTCTTCTCTTTTCCTTTCCTTCTTCCTTCCTTTGCTTTGTGCGTGGATGGTGGATGAAAATGGAGTTTTTCCTGACCTTCTCTCCTCAGTGGTGCTGGATTGGATGAGGTGTTATGAGTTGGGATGATTGAGAATGCCTTTTTGGCATTTCTCTCAATAATGGCATGGGAGAGGTCCCATTCATTTTATTGTTTGATCCCCAATCACTTCATGCTCCCTCTTCCACCTTCCTTGTGCGGCTCCCACTATTCATTTGCAGCTCAAAAACGTGGGTTGGCCCCCACTTATGTTGAAGGTCAACCTTTTGTATCCCGGAGTGTACAATCGGCCCTGAAAGTTGTATTTTACGGACTGTTTTAATTATATTTTATTTTATCGGGTCAGATAAAATATAACACTTGTTCCCAATCCTTATTGGACCTTAGAATCAATATGCATTCCCCAACTTTAATTTAGAAGTCTCCGAAATACCCTTTTTTGGGCTGTTATCTGATAAATTGCCGATATTGATAATTTGGCCCCGTTTGACCAACCGGTCAACCCTATGCCATTACCATGGCCCAGTTAGGATATCCACCACCATATACATATTATCTAGTCCAAGATTAATATAATATGTGGTCCCGATAATATCGGGCGGCCCCACTCACGGTGTGGGCCCCACGTGAATTTTACTATTCACGTAAAAAAATGATAAAAATTTACAATCACGTAAAAATGCTTTTATTCATTTCTCAGGGTTCAATACATAATTTGATAAGGTACAATTACTTGGGGGCGGTGTTACAGGAACTCCAAGGGTTGGATGTAAGTGGATATTTACTCCAAAAATTAATAGTGATAACACACTAGAAAGGTACAAAGCTAAAGTAGTGGTGAAAGGTTTCACTCAATCCTATGACATCGACTACACTGAAACGTTTGTCCTCACGGCAAAACTCAACACGATCAGAATCCTCTTCTCAGTGGCAGCAAACTTGGATTGGCCTTTGAGGCAGTTCGATGCGAAAAATGCATTTTTGAACAGACAGTTAGCAGAACAGCTCTAGGTAGAACCACAACACGGGCTTGAAAATAGATTTGGTTCGAAAGTGTGCAAACTAAAAAAGCACTTCATGGACTTAAACATTCTCCAAGAGCATGATTTTAGAGATTCAATCAAGTTGTCAAGAGCCATGATTATGCTCAAGTCCAACAAGACCATACCTTGTTTATTCATTTTTCACCCAAAGGGCAAGATTGTAGTTTTAATAGTATATGTGGATGATGATATCTTACTCACAGGTGATGATCACGAGCAGATACAAACAGATGAAATTTAGACTCTATAAGGAGTTTGAACTGAAAGATCTCGAGGAGATGAAGTATTCTCTAGTCATGGAGATCGAAAGGACAAAGGATGGAATCATAGTTTCTCAGAGACAATACATTTTTGATCTTCATAGAGAAATTATGACGAGTGTTTGTCGACCAATAGATACCCCAATATATGCCAACAAGAAGTTGGAAAATGTCACTAATGGAAAACTTGTCAATGTTCAACAATATCAACAACGAGTATGACAAATCATTTACTTATCACATACTCGACCAGACATCACTTTCACAGTCGTTTGGTAAGTCAATTTATGCATCAACCATATGAAGAACATCTTGAGGCAGCATACATAATTCTTAGGTAATTGAAGAGTTGTTTTGACAAAAATAAAATCAAAAAAATATTGAATTATACCATTGAGGCTTCATTGATGCAGATTAGGTAGGGTCCACAATAGATAGAAATTAACATCACATTATTGTATTGGGGTAATCTTGTTACTTGGAGAAGCAAAAAACAAAATGTGGTAGCATGAAGTAGCGTTGAAGTTGAATTTCAAGCAATGGCAAATTGAATTAGAAGTACTTTGGATTAACATAGTATTCTCATATCTTTAAGCTAAAGCTTGAGCTTCCAATAAAACTATTTCGTGACAATAAAACTGCTATCACTATTTCGCAAAACCAACTTCAACATGACAAAACGAAACATATCGATGTAGATCAACACTTCATATAGGAAATCTAGATGTTGGAATTATCTGCGTCCCATTTGTTGCATTCAAAGAAGAGATAGCGGACATCCTAACAAAGGGTCTCTTTTAACAAGCACATGAATTTCTTACAAATAAGCTGAGCACGTGTGATATCTATGCACCAACTTGAGGGGGAGTGTAGAAAATCAAAGTTATCTAGTATAGATGTAAATTATGTAACATGTAGATAATACTGAGTCCACTAGATTATCTAAGAAGACCGTTATTAGTTTCGACTTTCGTGGTCTATAGCTATTAGTTTCTATCTTGATGTATTCTATTTAAAGGTCTCCAGATCAAATCATTTATCTCAATGAGATTAAATTAGCTTAATCCAATTTCTACTTTCAATGTATTTGGTTGTACTTTTAATATTATTCAATGAGTACCATTAATCATTGTAAGTTACGTTCTAAGCTTACACACTTGATCTTCATGGAGAACTAGGGTTGGCAACAGGGAGGATCAATGATGATTTTACATATAATCGTACCCGCCCCGTTGAATAATTTCCCTGACCCGTTACCGCCCCATTGTCCAGTGGCTAATTTTTGCTCAAACCATAACCGCCTCAACGGATAACAGGTATAACCGCGGTTAACCACAAGTAACCACTTTATTAAATGAGTTATTGATATTTTAATATAAAAAAATATTTTAAAAGGTGACAAGTTGCATTGTCTAGATGATTTTAGACATCAAATGCCACTTTAAAGTTTCATATATCTACAAGATGAGAAGAAGACAATTTAAATTAATTTCAACCTAAAAATACTTAATCTGAAAAATATCAATCGCGAAAAATATATGATAAAAAAGGACTAAATTTATTATGAACTTTCATTGATACACTGTAGTTAGTAAATCTATTATCCATATATACACAGTGAAAAGAGAAAATGCTCATCTTTTAGTAGTTGTGAGATGAATAATAGATAAGAGTGTAAAAATATAATTAAAAATAAACGGGGCGGCATGTATAAAATCGTAACTGTTCCGTTACTCGTAAAAACAAAACTTATGTTTCTTGCCCCTTACTCGTTACTCGGTTAATGCAGTTTTTCCCATTTTGGCCGGTGTGATTTGATGCGGGTATCAATTGAAAGAGTTTTAATTGTCATCCCTATGGAGAACCTATTAGACAAATCCCCTCCTCCCAGCTTTTTAGCTCACCCCAAAGATGATGTTCTCTTCACTTGATCTGAATGTTTTTTATCTGAATTTATTGAGTCTAATCTGATCTGATTTTTTCTGATGTAATCTAATCTCATCTGAATCTTTATGATATGATATGATTTGAATCTTTCTGATATGATCTAAACCTTTCTAATCTGGTCTGGCTTGATCTGAATCCTTCTAATTTGATCTGAATCTTTCTGATCAAATCTGATCTGAATCTTTATGATCTGATCTGATTTGAATATTTCTATAATTATAATTGTAACTATAAATATAATTATAACTATAATCATAATTATAAAAAAGTTATAATTATAATACTAATAATAATTATAATAAAAATTATAATAATTATACATATTACACTAGTTATAATTATAGCTATATACTCTAATACAATTCTAATAATATACTCTAATACAATTCGAATAAGTACGGCTTATGAGAGAGAGGGTCTAAGAGCTCTTTAACCCTAATAACGTTTCTCCGTAGCGGCTTTGCCGTCGCGTAGGGTTTTGTCTCTCTAAAGACTTTTCCGTCACGTAGGGTTTCTTTCCACCAATTGTTTGTGCGGTTCTTCTTCTATAGGCTTCTAGAGTGTTTTTAAGGAGACGTGAGTGCAGCTGAAGTCTTTGGAAGCGAATCCAAGGTTCAAGAAATGATAATCATGTCTTCTATGAATGATTTAGAGCAGTGTCGTCTCATTCCTGCAATTAAGGAGGAGTTTGAAAGGTTAATTTCTAGCGAATCAACATGGGTAGAGGGTGAAGGACTGAGCAAGGGAGAAGACATATCGGCGGTCCCCCCTCCTGAATCGCCGCCTTGGAGCGATCGAGATGCTATGATTTGGAAAATTTATCAGTTATTTAATTTTTTATGGTTTTATTTTCGCGTTTTTATATTGTTTTGTTTTTTATTGATGTTTTTAGTTCCATGTCTACAATTATGATTGACAAATCTGTTAGATATTATGTCAATGGAAGGATCTATATGTGCTGTGTCACACCCGTTTGATGGTTAGCGATTCATATTGCTCTTTCAGGGGTGATCGTCTCTAAGTCTAGCAGTAGGGTTGATAGTGCTAGTTGGTTAGTGATAGGTGGTGTCAGGATTGGTCTTTTTGAGTTTTTTGTAACGATTTTTTTTCTTATGATTTTGATATAAAGCGTTTTGTTTTGATGATAAAAAAATTATAGCTATAATTATAATTGTAGCTATATTTTTATTTATAACTATTTCTATAATTGTAATTATAATTATAATATTTAGGGAAAAGGGACAAATAAACTCTCGAACTAACTGAAAAAGTGCAAATCACCCCTTTTATAGGAAGCTTTGTCCGGCCGTCGTCATTTGGGGCGGTTCTCGGTGATTTTTTTGATGAATTTGTTTAAGCATCTTCTTCATTAAGTCCAGTTTCCCATACCAAATTTTAGCTAAAAATGCAACCGGGAAGGCAGTCAAATAAATGTTTGAAGATAACTGCGCAGTTAAACAACCTAGTATATTTCAGAAAATCATTTGACTGCCTTCCTGGTTGAATTTTTAGCTGAAGTTTGGTATAAATAAACTAAACTTAACGAAGAAGATGCTAAAAAATCATCAAAAATGTACATCGGGAATCACCCCAAATGTCGACTTCCTAACAAAACCACCTCTTATAAAAGGGGCTATTTGATGGGTTAGTTCGAGACTTATTTGCGGCTTTTCCCTGATATTTATTTCTAAAGGCCTGAAATTCCACCGAACTGTTTTTGGATAAGGGTCGAATAACACCTTCTCATTCGAGAAGACGTTAGAAACAAGAAGCCAAGGGGTCACCCCCAGATCACTCAAAGAAATCGATCGCCGCCGCAATGGATAACGGATGTGCCCTGAGCTCTTTGTCGTCCTCAACCGCTTCCTCCAAATTCACTCCAGCTCATAACAGGCTTGTTGGGAACACTACCCCAATCTTCTGTCCTCTCAATCAATTGGCAACCAATCAGTCCAACGGTGTCATTTCACGTAGATCTCACTCTCTGATCCGTGTAAGTGGTTCAGCTTCGTCTTCTTCTCCTCCTTTTTTGTATTCCTGCTGTCAACTATCTTTGTGTGATTGAGCTATGATATTGTATGCAATGGTTGCAACTTGTAAGAGTAGCAGTGTTTGATTTTTGCATTAAAGTTTATGCAGTTTCACTATAAGCTCTGTTTTTGTAAGAAAGCCTAATATCAGTGGATAACATAAAGGAAATTGAATTCAGGTTCGAAGAATTTCACTCTAAAAAAATTCGTGTATAATGCTACTCAGTATAATTTATTAACTTGGCTTGGTCATATATTAGAACTGCACCAGGCACCAGCATATTGGAGGGAAGGCATCTTGCTTTAGAAATGCTTAAATGGCATCTAAATAAGTACGTATCTCAAATGGCAGTAGGAGTCTGTGTTTTTCTTCTCAAGATTCAAAATAAGTACGTATCTCAAAATAAGTACGTATCTCAAATGGCAGTAGGATTGCTTAAATGCCAGCACCCCTTAGCTTGAAGCAGCAAAGGCGGTAGGAGGCCTACTGAAGTCATTTTCCTAGGTGAAGGCATGTGCACAAAAATCTTATCTAGTTCCTTCTTCAGCCACAATACCCTGCCTTTCCTCGAGCAGCTCCGCACATTGCACGCTAGGAGCATGTTTTTGTCCCCAAGGTAAAATGAGTTAGAGTTCCTGATTCTGCTTCACCTTGCTTGCTTGGGACTGTCTCCTCAATGCAGTCTGGTCTCCTTCCTCTTCAAGCCGTAACAGGACTCTTTCTATCCTCCTCTATTCTTCTGGAGCTTGATGAGTACTCCCTGACATGGAATTTACTTCTCTCAACATGTGAGCTAAAATCGTGCCATTGACAGAAGTTTCTGCTAATTATGTCAGAGTAATATTTGGAAATAGAGCATTCATTCGTCATTACACCGAGAAACACAATATCCAACTTCTAAGACATAAAAGTAATACCACATCAGATTGATTGCCTAGGAATAAAATCATTCGCAGGCTTAAACACAGTATCCAACTTCTAAGACAGCCCCAAATGAGGAAGTACATCAATGTAAAGTTTTTGCAAGTGCTTAAATAAAGTGTGAAACAGCTTTACATGTTGCTTTTTTTATGTGCGCAGGCAGTTTCAAATGAAGTAGGGAGCAGGAATAAGAGAATAAGCAGTCTTGAATCTCTTTTTTGCTATGACAAGTCTGTGCCTGAGGAAGTTATAGAGAAACCTATTGGGCTGTCTTTGATTGAGAAAAATATCGGAAATAAACCTCCTTGTGGTGGTTGTAAAGCAGCAGGCGCAGTACTATGCAAAACGTGCTCTGGTTCAGGCTTATATGTCGACTCTATTATGGAATGTCAAGGAATTATTGTTAAAGTTCGATGCTTAGGTGAATTTTTCTTTCACCACTTCTTCCATATTATTTTTACACTGTAAGATGGTGGACAGATTGCAAAAGTATTTAAAACGCTTCCCTTTGAGAATTAAATTTAGTAGATTCAATCGCTTCACCTAATAACCCTTGTCAAATGGGCTCGTAATATCTCTCTTTAGCCAGGATTACTTGTCCAAATTTGGGACAACCCCTCCTGGCATTACCCCGGGCCCCTACTTGCATCACTTGTACGAATTGCGGGTATTTCAACCCACACCCATAACAATTGTCATTATGGGTTGTGTGTTCATTGTAATAAAATTTAAAAACACGTTAAAAATGTTTTTAATCGGACTCTCTTATTCTGGCCTGGTTTATTTAAGTTTCTTCTGGTCTGATCTGGTCTAGTACTCTAGTCTAGTCCAATTAAAAACATCCTAAATAAACAAAAGTGTATTGACTATTGAATGAGATGTTCAGTTTCTCACTGTTTTCTTGTGAAGCAGGTTGTGGTGGGAGTGGAAACATAATGTGCTTAGAATGTGGCGGCAGAGGTCATCAATGATTCCCATATTTTGTTGTTTATACTCATAGTGTATGTTCTGTAGCTCTACAAAGTTGAATCTATAAGAGTGAAACACACCAAAATCAAGACTTCATGTTACATACATTAGTTGTTCACGAGTCATCAGAATATGTGATCAATAATGAATAAATGGTGTTGCTTTTTTGTCATTCTTTTTTGTTGTACTTAAGATAATGCACTATTAAACTCGAATATTTGTTTGTACTGGGAAGGCTGCTCATTGTTACTCCAAAATTGAATAATTCCAAGAAGAGAAACATTGATACCATAATACCAGATTACCAGTAGTTTTTTTTTGCCATGTATAGTCCTCCCATTAGTTTGCAGCTACCTTTTTGACACTATTTTGAATGCATTTATACTTTACTAATATAAATACATCATTGACAAAAATTATGTGTTTAACATGAAAATAACTTTTCAAATAAAAAATGCACTACATACTTTACTAATATAAATAACTAGTTTACTACATGCACTTTTAAAAGATCATGGATTTTGAAATCTGTCTACAAGATTGTGGTGGATTGTTTTTGTATATAGAAATCCATTAAAATGCGTGCAAATAAGTAACAACAGAATTCAATGGAATGTTTGAGGACACCTAAATTCTGACGGAATTCTGAACTCCATTAAAATCTCCCAGAATCCGAATTGGGGACATCCCTAAAAGAATATGTGAAAGAAAGTTGTGTAGTTGTGAAGTTCTTAAAAGTTATGTTAAAGAAAGACATCGAGTTATTAAGTTTTTAGGCAACCTTTGTTTGAAGGAAAACTAATCAAGTACTCGGTATTATTTTCAAGGAAATAGTAATACAAGGATTATGAAATAGTAGTTATGGGTTACTCGATTCACACATTGCTTCACATGAGAAAATAAAACACTAGTAAAATAAAAAAATCTCTCTAACAAAGACATTAGAGAATTTAAGCGAGAAAAAAATGTCATGTATATTACTTAGTCGTGGACTCGGGCCGGGTCGGGCCCGGGTCGGGCCTAGGCCCGGTCGAGCCGCCGGTTTGTATGACATGGGCCCGGGACCGGCCCGAGGGTTGGACGGGTCCGGTTCGGGCCGGGCCACCCGCCCGGGTCACGGGTCGGGCCGGGCCGGTTAAAGATTTTTTTATATAATTTATATTTTATAGTTTATAGTTTTATTCAAGTATTAAAAACAAACTTCAAGTGCATTTATTTGAAATGAAATAGGAACTACATTTGAAAATTAAAACAAACTTCAAGAGACAAACATTTTGAAAACTGTAATCAATCGGAACTTCCCGCACCTCCCGATCCTTTGGCTTTGTCACATGACTTCATATGCTTCATTGCCATCCCGTATCCGCCTGAAACCCCCATGCTACATTTTTTCCCGCACCATTTGCAAGTTGCGTACCACATCCCGGTCTTCGGGTCCTTCTGCTTATCAAAATTATACCGTATAACGGCATCTTGATTTTCCATCTTAAGTATAAAGTAGATATATAAATAATAAATATAATATATTGGAGAACAAGAGAATTAGAGAGTAGAGAGTTAAGAATAGGATTTAGGAAGAATTGGAGAAGAGATATGAAAAAATGTTTAAGATTAGGAGTATATATAGGTTTTTTACCCCCCACCCCCACCCCACCCCCCACCCCCGGACCCCCCCTGCACCCCACCCAACGGCTATATAGCCGTTTGGGTTGTCCCCAGCCCACCCCCAAGGCCATAACGGCTACTTTGGGGCCCAACATTTTTTTTTAAATTGGACCGTTGGACCCGGGCCTGAGCCCGACCCGGCCGGGCCGGGTCAACCTTTTCAAGAACCGTACCCGCCCCGCCCCGCCCCGCCGGTTCGGGTATACACCCGGTCCCGGACCGCCCCCGGGCCGGTCCCGGGCCCGCACAGTAGCGGACCGGGCCGGGTCACGGGCCGGGTGGCTCGAACCGAATCCAACCCTAATATTACTAATAGAGTTTTCCCGGACAAAAATATGATCAATTATATTTCTGGACAAAAATATGATTAACCTCTGTGTATGAGTAACTGGAAAAGAGTCATTATAGTGTATTTTATAATGACAAGTCATTGTAGATGACTGAGTCACTATAAACTAGTCATTAAATATGTCACTTTTTTTGAACTTTTTTAAAATAAGTCATATTTTTGTATTTTGAATTTAATTTAATACGGAGTAATATTCATGAAAAAATGCCTTTACGCAAACCTTTTAATGATAAAGTATTATAGTGTCTATGTTTCTGATAAAATTTCTTTCTTTCATTAACAATTTCATTAACAATTCCCATCTCCAAATATATAGTCAAATGATTCACGATCCGTATATTTAAACTAAAATTAAAATTGTTAGGTTATGTTGTATACACGTATCTAAAATTGTGACTTACATATTAGAAATTATAAATTTATAATTAAAATATAGGTTGTTGTTCAAGTAAAAAAGATGCTTAAAGTTAAAAGTGCAAAATTATTACTTTTACTTTGGTACTGCACGTTTAAGTTCAAATACTCCACTTTTTCGTGATAATGAAAACGATCACTTATTCTAAAGAAATGTCGTCACACTTTAACTCTATCTGGTGCACAGTTAACACCTTTGGAGAATCATTTTGATTTTTCAAATTAAAATTTCCTTGTATAGAAGGGTAAAATTGTCACCTCAACCAAATAAGTTAGCAAAATATCTTTAGGCTTATTTATTTTCATAATTAAAATAGAACTTTAATAAAAAAATGATTCATAAATTTGATAAATTTTTAGTTTTAATTTGCTGGTAGTGGAGCCGTGGTGGAGAAACTTTCTCAAGAGAAGGAATATGCCACGCTTCATTTGGGATTCCATCAACAAAAAACTGGTTCCCCTGCAGACATCCTCGGATAACACGCTGACTCGGTTCGGTTGTTCGGACGGTTCCTTAATCCATTTTCCATTTCAGTATATATAATACGGAGTATATGTACAAACACACATTCATATATAGATTTGTGCGTGTGAAAGCTCAGATGCTTGATGCTTCCTTCCCTGCCCGCATTTTTACAGGTACCCCCCCCACCCAACCTTCTTCACCCCCTTCTTAAATTTGCTCTTGTAGTTATTATCTGCAGATTCTATTGTTTCTTTACTATTTTAAAATCAAATCTTGGTTTTTGTGTTTGTTTGTTGTTAAGCTAGGATGGATTTTCTGTGGGGAAAGCAGAGTACTCATCTATCTTTAATTTTTTTGATATGAGTTATTGAATAATTAATTGGGATGTTGTAAGCTCTACTACTGTAAGTGTGCTATTTGGGCATGGGGCAATAGTGAAATTCATAAGACTGTCACATAGGGCATTTTCTTAGTCTTATGTTTGGTAGATTAAAACTTGTTATCAATGACTCATCTTTGATTTCGCCAAGAGTTGTTCCTTATAGAAATATTAAAGACGTGTTTATGAGCTCATAAAGCATTAAGGCAAATTAGCTAATGGATTGAATTCATTTTTTAGCAATTTAACACAACTAGGAATTATATCAACTGGATTTGAGTTGATGATTAATGTGCAGTGGCTGCTTGTGGAGTAATCAGAGGACTAGCTGCACAATGGGGAGTGATAAGCAGTCAGTTGGGTTACTAGATACCCTTAATATGGAGACAGTCAGGACGATATTAGCCCATCCATATCCATATCCACACGAACACTCACGACATCTTTTCATTGCTGTGGTTGTGGGTTGCCTGTTTTTCATATCATCTGATAATATCCATACCCTTATCCAGAAGTTAGACACCAACATCAAATGGTGGTCTATTTATGCCTGTTTGCTAGGATTCTTTTACTTCTTTTCATCTCCATTTCTTGGGAAAACAATTAGGCCAAGTTATTCCAATTTCAGCCGCTGGTATGCTATCAGAACTGCCCTACTATGTTTCTGATTTTAACTTTTCTGTTTAATTTTGTTAAAAAAGAATCTCTAAATTTGAGATTCCTTACTAATTGGTTGCAGGTATATAGTCTGGATATTGGTTGCAGCTCTTTATCATCTTCCCAGTTTTCAATCAATGGGAGTTGATCTAAGGATGAATCTCTCTTTGTTTCTGACAATATACGTCTCGTCCATCTCCTTTCTGCTTGTTTTCCATCTCGTTTTTATTGGGCTTTGGCATCTTGGCCTTGTGGCTCGTGTGGCTAAAAGAAGGCCTGAAATCCTTGCAATAATTCAAAACTGTGCTGTGAGTTCTCTGATCATCTCTCAAGGCTATGTTTGGAGTTGGGTTTTGGAGCGGGGTGGAGGTGAAGGGAGGGGAAGGGTTATTTTTTTTATTTTTGAATTAATAGAATTTTATATAGTTTACATCACAAAAAAAAAAGAATTTTATATAGTTTATGGTAATGAATAAATGACTTCAATGTTGAATTGTTACTGATCTCTCATTTCATTTCTTTTTCAGCTTAACATTATCTAGTTAAAGTAATATTTTCTTATAGCCTTAAAAATGAAAAATAACCCCTCCCTTTCAATATTGTCCAAAACCCAACTCCCAAACATAGCCTAATAAATAATTGAAAATTGCACATGATTCTCAATTTATGGCTTCTTTTGTCCCCTGTGTAGGTTTTAAGTATAGCATGCTGTGTATTTTATAGCCACTGTGGCAACCTTGCAATTGTGCGGGAAAAAACATTTGACTGTAGAGATTCTCTTTGGTTTTCTCTCTGGCGGAAGGGGGAGCGAAATACATGGCTTGCAAAATTTGTTCGTGTGAGTGAGTTCAAAGAACAGGTTTGTAAATCTTGGTTTGCACCAGTTGGATCTGCCAGTGACTATCCGTTTTTATCGAAGTGGGTCATATATGGAGAGGTATGCCCTCATATGGATAATTAGTTAGGCTCTCTTACTTTTCATGCAATCAAGGACCTCTTATATTGATAGACCTTTTTTCATTTTGTTTTATAATATTTCCAGTTGAGCTGTGGTGGTGCATGTGCAGAATCATCAGATGAAATCTCTCCAATATATTCTTTGTGGGCCACTTTTATCGGTCTTTACATTGCCAATTATGTTGTGGAAAGATCATCAGGGTAAGTAAACTAAGCGCCTTCTTTCTCTTTTTGACAAATCAACTGGGGATATTGTCTTTGCATCGGTTGGCAAGCTGGCATGCCATTGAAGTCTCATCAGAATTGGAAACATTTCCTAGAAGAAATTTTCCCATCTCTGGATTATGTGAATCCTCCTAAGTTAGTCTTTTTGTTTACTTGAAGCTTGTTTTGTTCAGAGAATTCAGAGGGAAGGAGAGGACTGAGGAGATGCTTGGTTTTAATTTGAATGAGTCTAGGAAGGCCTTTTGTGTACAATCTAACATGGCATGTATTTATGGGATCATAAAAAGATGGATAACTTTTAATCATCCCAAAAATGCATGCCATTTTTGGAATGTACACTAATAGTGTACACAAAAATGTCTCCGTAGACTTTTTATTCTATTTTACAATTCTATTCTATATCTATTTGTTAGATTTAGACTAGAAATAAGTATATGAGTAATTGATAATGTATTTTATATACTTTTTTATCTTCTTTTTATTTTCAATCATCTAAATGTAGATATAATTTAAAAAGTAAATATTGATCCTCCCCTGTCCTCCCCTTCAAGTCCCCAAACCAAACAAGCCTAAGTATGTTTGAATCACGGAAAACTGATAGGGAAAGGGAACTAATGCCTAAGGGGATGTCATTTTCACGTGTTTTGATTTTACCTTGGGAAGTGCAAGGACAACGAAATATGATTAGCTTTTAATTTTGTATGCATATACTTAGATATCTTTCATTTTAACGTGACAGGCATAAATAAAAAAATGAGTATCAACAAAGATCTAAGATAAATTCATGGAGTTTTAGCCTATCTTTAATTTTTCGCACATCATCTTTCCTTCTATATCTCTCTATGCTTTTCATCATATTTTTTCATCATCATCACCCCAGTGCCGCAAGGGCTCCCACCTACGGTGGGGTAAGGGGGGGGGGTCGTACCCCTGTACTAAAGCACAGAGAGACGGTTCCCGGATGACCCATAGTGAAATTCGCATCGAAATTGCATTGACTGATTACTGCTTCATAACAAAGAAGCGCAGACAGTTTAGTGAGCCTTTTTGCTTTATTCCATCATACTCCCAAGCCAAAGAGTAGTGAGTCTTTGGCTCCATTAGAAATGATGAAACTTTCATCATATTTTTTCCCTAGTATTATTTTTGGGAATGCAAACAGACCCTTGGGATGTATGTTACTTATAATATAGAGTTCTTGAATGGCAAATGCAAAATTGTAAAAGATTACGCTCTCCATCGCCAATATCTCCCTCATTTAGCTACTTTGGATTATGTGTGCTCTTCTATGTTTCTTGCTTCACAGTTGGGCTCTTTCTCATCCTCTTTCGCACAAAGAATATGACAAGTTGAAGAAAAAACAGATGAAGCCTGAATTTCTGGACATGGTTCCTTGGTATTCGGGGTATGTATGAATAGACTACTCACATTCATCCTCTATGGGCCCAGAAGTGCCACAAATAATCTAAATATGGGCCATTTGTATTACAGGACATCTGCTGATTTGTTTAAGACTGTGTTCGACTTAATAGTCTCAGTGACACTATTTGTGGGACGTTTTGATATGAGGATGATGCAGGTGTCATTGTGTATTTGTTTCTCAGAAATCTTTCTAGAGACTAGAACCACTTGGGGTATGTTTGGATAACAGGAAATGTTAGGGAAATGAAAGAAACTGCCATTTTTTAATTGCTTGGGTGCACCTTTGGAGTGAAAAGAAAAATGAAATATAATACGGAGTATGATAATTGTTATTTTTCATTTATTAGTATTTCTTAGTCTTTTTATAATAGATGTAAATAAATAAGCTGTTACTTTGAACTAGCATCTAAAATAAATGTTTTGAGTTTGAGTTTATCCTTTACTCCCCCCAAATTTATTTGCTTTATATTTCCATTCCTTAGTATTTTCTGGTTCCAAACAGACCCATAAAATAAGACTTTAGTTTCTTTTGCATTATTTCACATAATAAGATCATTGTTTTGGAATTATAGGCAGCAATGAGTGGAGTTGAAGATGGGGCTAAACATGAAGATCTTTTGTATGACCACTTCAGTGAAAAGAATGACTTTTGGTTTGACTTTATGGCTGATACCGGTGATGGTGGGAATTCTTCTTACACAGTGGCATGCCTTCTTGCTCAACCTTTAATCCATGTCCAAAATAACGGCACTCTACTTAGTTTGCCTCGAGGGAATCTGCTTCTCATAGGCGGCGATCTTGCGTTAGCTCAAACTTCTTTCTTGAATCCCTTTGTGGAATATGTTGTTTGATTTAATCCCTCGTGTACATAGTATTACACTATTACTCAATTGATCCTTAACTTTCTTTTGGAATCAATTTGGTCCTCGACCATGCACTAGTCCCTCAATTTAGTCCTGAGACACATTTTACACTAATTATGAAGGATATTTTGTCAGATGGAGACTTAATTAGGTCCAACTTACATAGTATAGGACCAAACAGAGTCTTGAATTGAGTCTGAATTACATAGTATATGACCAAACAGAGTCTTGAATTGGGTCTAGATTTAGTTTATCAACAAAAATACCCTTCTTGTTTAGAATCAAATATGAATGAGAATAAAATTAGGTCCAAATTACAAAGTTGGGGACCAAATTGAAATCTAACAGATCTAACTGTGTACTAATGAGTAATTGACACATTTTGAATGCTGCCTACCATGCTTTTTGATACAATTCCTTGTTTTGTTTTTGCTTACTAGGTATCCTAATCCATCAGCTTTTACATATGAGAAGCGTCTATTCCGCCCCTTCGAGTATGCTCTTCAGCCACCAATATGGTATAAAGAAGAGCATATTGCTGTAAACAAACCAGAATTGCCTCATGGGATTGCTGAATTGAAGCAGTATGAAGGGCCTCAATGTTTTGTCGTACCTGGAAATCATGGTTATTAGTCTACTTTTTCATTAATCTTACTTAGTCCTAGTGCCATTACAGTAATACAGTATGATTTCAACTTACTGGAAAAAATCATTTTTTCCTTGCAGATTGGTTTGATGGACTTCAGACATTCATGAGGTACATTTGTCACAAAAGCTGGTTGGGTGGTTGGTTTATGCCTCAGAAGAAGAGCTATTTCGCCCTTCAGCTGCCAAAAAGGTGGTGGGTATTCGGTCTTGATCTGGCCCTCCATTGCGATATTGATATCTACCAATTCAAGTTCTTCTCAGAATTAGTAAGGGATAAGGTATATTCTTCCACTATGCTATTTTCTCTGTTGTGTCAATTCACTTTTTATTACACATAAATCTTACAACGTGATTAATAATAAACCTACCTTTTGCTCTCTGCTTTAGGAATTGAGATATAGTGCTATACATGTATGAATTTACGCCATGTCGACCGTGTTTTTGTAAGGAGAGAGGAAATATATGGAGGGAGAAGTAGATAGGTGAGAAAAGAAAAGAATAGGAACTAGTGAGAAGTAGAAACAAATACAAGTTGTTCGGTTAACGAGAAATAAAGGGTAACTATTTGAACCAAAATGGTTTGGTATAATGGCATGTAAAATAAAAAAGTTATATTAAAAGCAAATTATTACCCTTAGAACATCCTTCTTGTTGAGAAGAAACAGGGGTAAACTGGTAAGTTTATTTCTATAGTGTAATATCTTCTGTTTTGTCACCTTCTGAGAGTGGAAGTACTTTGCAGCCCCCCAGGTAAAACTTTTTTTGTGTGGCTTTTCCACCTCTTCCAAAAGTCCAAAACATTTAAATGCCATGAAACATGTGATTCCCTTCCCTTGTATTTCTTTTGTTGGTTTCCTATTTCGTTCTTCCAAGCACATGCTTAATCTTTATTAATATATCCCTGGCACCATGTTAAATTCCTGTGCTTTCAGATCTAACTAAGCAATTAACCACCATACTTGAACAAATTTTTGATCCTATATATTGTGGATTATCTTTTCAGGTTAAAGATGATGACTGTGTGATCATAATGACACATGAACCTAATTGGCTCATTGATTGGTACTGGAATGATGTGACGGGGAAGAATATTTCCCACTTGATACGTGACCATTTAGTGGGGAGGTGTAAACTTCGAATTGCTGGGGATTTGCATCATTACATGCACCATTCATACGTTCCCTCTGAAAAGCCAGTTCATGTGCAACATTTGATTGTCAATGGTTGTGGCGGGGCTTTTTTGCACCCAACACACGTATTTAAGAACTTTAAAGAGTTATATGGGATGTCCTACAAGTGCACAGCTTCGTACCCATCGTTTGAAGATTCAAGCCGGGTATGGAGTTTGAATCTTCTAGTCATTTTATATCATCAATATTTTCTTGTATCTATCTGCTAATAGATGTTGTGGTATGGCTATAAATGAATGCAGATTGCATTGGGAAATATATTGAAGTTTCGTAAGAAAAACTGGCAATTCGATATCATTGGTGGCTTCATATACTTTTTATTGGTTTTCTCTATGTTCCCTCAGGTAACATTAAGTTGAAATTATACTATGAGGTTTTTCCTAGAAGATCACTAATAAAAGAGAAAAAAGACAAAAAAGTGCCACTTGTTAATTTTCCAAAAAGCGACAACAACAAGAACATCCAAGCCTTAGTCCCAAAAGAGTTTGGGATCGGCTAACATGAATGGACACATGAAATTAGAGTTAAAAAGATCAGAAAGCTAAAAAGATAAGAAAGATTAGCAGGGAATCACAGTTGTCTTAGTTTAGGTAAAATTAGCACATTATTATAGTCATACTTACCGTATGTTATGCTCCCAACCTTATATACGGGAGCACCAAGGAGAATGACTAATTATTTGACGTTGGTTTCAAGTGTCATTTAGACCACATCTTAAAGGACAATACCTTTTCGGGACACGTAAGGAGCTTCTTTAGAGCGGTGTGGGATTCCTTTATATATATGTTGGACTGCTCATATGTATCTTTTGGGGGAGCTATGTTATTGCTAGTAGCTGCAGTGTGTTTTGTTCCCAACATTGCATCTCGGAAAAGAAAATTGATAATTGGGATTCTTCATGTGTCTGCCCACTTAGCTGCAGCAATAATACTCATGCTTCTGTTGGAATTGGGCGTTGAGACATGTATTCGGCATAATCTCCTAGCTACATCAGGTTTGATGTTATCTTTTTAATTTATTCCGTCTGTGTGTTTTAATCAATTCAAAGGTACTTTGTTATTTTGTGAATGTTTCTCTCTTTTCAAGTCATTAATTAACACTCTATGACTAAGCTATTGAATCACCTGCCTGCCATTAATTTTTTTTACCTTGCATTGATGATGTAGGTTATCATACTTTATATAAATGGTATCGATATGTTGAGCACGAGCATTTTCCAGATCCCTCTGGTCTTAGGGAACGCATTGAAAGATGGACATTTGGTCTTTATCCTGCATGTATCAAATATCTAATGTCTGCTTTTGATGTACCTGAGGTAAAATAACACTCCTCTGAGAAAATGACGTTAAGCAATTTGAAGTTTAAACGTAGGGTTAAAAGTTTATTAACATTAATCATTTTTTATTGTTTCCTTCACATTTTTTGTGGTAAATCCAAGCATGAGAAAATGACTTTTCTTAGCATTTTATTTCCTTCCCCTAGCATTTTACAAGATTCAAACCAAGCCTATAGAAAGAATAGTGTCATTTTAACTGAAACAAGCCTATTTGGGTTCAGTAAGGATTTTAATCTCACCCTCCCTCTCTTTCTTTCACTTTTTACAACCTTAGTTTTTTGTTCAACAATTTCAGTCAATTTGCAAATTTGTTCATACCCTCTTGACCTTCAGGTAATGGCAGTGACAAGGCAAAACATATGCAAGAATGGGATGGATTCACTCCCCCGCGGGAGAGCTGCAATATATTATGCATCTGTCTTTCTTTATTTTTGGGTTTTCTCAACTCCGGTGGTTTCTTTGATTTTCGGAAGCTATCTGTATATCTGTATTAATTGGCTTCACATACATTTCGATGAAGCCTTCTCATCTCTCCGCATCGCTAACTACAAGTCTTTTACACGGTTTCACATAAACGTCAAAGGCGACCTTGAAGTTTTCACTCTTGCAGTTGATAAGGTATGGATTTGCTTTCAGTTCCTTAAGGCTTTGTTTGGAACGTGAAAATGTCAGGGAAAGGATTAAAGTGTGAAGGAGAATAGTTTTAAAATATTTATTTTTACTTAGCTTAGAGAAATAGTACGAAAATCAAATATCATTGACAACAACAACATCCAAGCCTTAGTCCCAAATGATATTTGGGGTCGGCTAACATTAATCGGTACATGTTATCAGAGCCAAAAGTGAAAAAAGATAAGAAAGAATATAAAATAGAGATAAGATATACTACGTACATAAAAGTGATGAGATAAAAATGATAAAGGGGTATATATATATATATATATATATATATATATATATAAATAAAAGATAAAGGGATAAAAAATATAAGGAAGGAAAAGAAGATAAAAGGAAAAAAGATGAAAAGAGATCATTCTGCCACACGAATACGCGAAAATCAAATACGGAGTATCATTAAGATCTATTTAAATTTTACTTGTTTTTAAATAAAAGGCGTTAACAAATATGTAAAATTGATTTATTGAGCTTGAATCTTTTTAGCTTTCCTCTCCATTTTCATTCCTTGGCATTTTGAGAGTTCCAAACAGACTCTAGCCTAAGGGTCTGTTTAGAAACCCGAATATACGGGGAAGAAAGTAGGGATGAAAATGTGAAGAAAGTAAACTGAAAATTAAAGATAGAATGAAGCTCAATAAATTTATTTGAGAGATCTTGTCAAACTATTTTTTCTCGCATTATTTATTTTCATTATTGTATAAAGGCTGAGAAATTTAAGTATATGTAGAATTTGAATAACAATGATGATGGTTGTTTTCCTTTAACATTGTCCAAGACTCCAAGCTCATGCACAGGAAAACACCTTTCCCTTAGACATTTCCCCCTTTGCCTATTATATTCTGGGATCCAAACATTCTCTAACACTTTGCAGAATGACCTTCGTCCTGGGTGGGTGGGTGGGGGGGGGGGGGGGGGTAAATATGATAACAGAGCAGTTGGAGTATATGTTAGGTTTAACCCAACATAGCGATTGGAGTATATGTTACGTTTAACCCCACATAATCTTCCGTATGATCTACCCCACTTGACTAGGCCCCAACCTAGGTGCCACTGTGCCAGTTCTTGTATTACCCTACCCCGCCAAGTCCTTAGTACTTTTCAGGAATAAGAAACAATAAATATGATGAGGTTTCAGGTACCAAAAAAGATACTCCGTAAATATGATGAGGTTTCAGGTACCAAAGAAATGGAAACTGGACTCTAATTGGGAAACCGAGCAGCAGCAGCCAAGTCACCTGCGGAGCTTCCCCAGCAAATGGAGAGCAGCTTCACCCCACCACGATCCTGTAAACACCGTTCGGATTGTTGACCATTTTGTCATTCAACAGAAGGAAGTAGAAAAGCCAGATTCCAAATTGATGAACGGGTCAATAACTCACTGACTGGTTCTTTTACTAGTTATTGTTTGTACAAATGTTGTAGTCTCTTTAGATGGGAATCAAGATTGGCTGTCTAGATGGCTGGTTGATTCCTTTGATCATATAAGTACTGTATTCATCATCCAACTCCTTGTTAAGGTTGTTGCATGGCTGGTTAAATATGTATAAGTTAATTATAGTCATGATATATTAAGGTTTAGGAGACACGGACATGCCTCTAAATTACGTAGTACTCCAATCCCTTAGCCTCAACACACCTCTAGAATAATCAAACATAAAAACTGAAAAGTTGAAAAAAATATGCCCTTGTGCCAACATTCTATAATATGCTGCAGTCTAGGGGTGGACTGGTTCCGGTTCGGGCCTCGGTTCATGAAAGGGGAGGCCCAGAACCGGCCCGGGTAACCCCGGGTCCGGGCCAGGCCGGGCCTCGGTTCTTGTATTTTTTTTTTTGGCTTTTCCTAATTAACCCCCAACCCTCCCCCCTCACCCCAAACCACCCCAAACCACCTCAAATGGCCCATCATACCCAGCCCAACCCAAAAACTTAAAAAAAATTCAAAAAAAAAAAAAGAAAAAAAAATTGGCCCGGACCAGGTCCGAACCGGCCGGGCCGGTTCACGATTTAGGAGGCCCGGGCCCGGCCTGCCTACCTCACCGGGCCGGGTGGCCTGAACCGGGCACCAACCGGTTCACCGGGCCGGTCCGGGCTCGCAGATTCAACAGTATATCTATTTCAGATTTGTAATTTATTGTACCATACTCCCATTAACACTCTCGTAAAGTAAAAAAAGACCATTAGTTCATTACTTTGACAATGCAAGAAAAACTTAAATCATTAAATATTACGGAGTAGTGGGAGTACCAAATAATATTGGGTAAGTCTTCTATCATTGGTTCAAGAGCATTCAAACCAAGCCCAAATTTCTGCTGGTATTTAATGTACTAACATTAAGCTAATGCCATTTCCCATTTGTATTGAAAAATGGACTAATAAATGGGTAAAGTTCTTGTATTCTAATTCACTACCCCGTAATTTACAAGCACATCAAGTTTTCGTAAAAAACTATTACTAATCTTCATCTGTGTAAAGAAACTTTTCATACACAGTTCCCTTCAGTTTCTCCTGCACTTCTTCCCAATTCGCAATTTGGTTTAATAGAGAGCCGCTGTGTATCTTAACCTGCAGACTCGTAAGGTTTCTAATCGGCAGCCTGAGAAACTCTTGAACGTCTCTAAGTTTCTGCTCACAAAAAGTATAGGTAATGTAGCATGATAATTAGATCTACACATTGATTGAACACACTTGAATGAACAATATAAAAATATAGTCTTGCTCACCGTTCGGTTTCTAACAATATCTTCATAGTAAAACACAACATGCCGCGCATTCTTGAAGTAGTCTAAAGCAATAGCAGAATTCTTCATGGTGCTTCTTAGTTTGGGTATGAGTACGGATATATTTACACTTGGTTTGTATTCAGCAAGTATTTGAGCCTGGGAATATGAAAAAGACCATGAAGTCAAACATATGTTTATTATGGTAAATCCGTACATATATTATATACATCCAGTTGCAAAGGCTAAAAATACCAGGAAGGATAATGTATATGTAGTTAGATGGGGTAGTGACCTCTTGGGGAGAATGAACATGAGATTTGTGTGTTCCATTTAAGAGTTTAACATCCTTGTCATAAGTATTTGCAAGGAGGGAGATCAACCTACGCAGCGGATTCCTTCGTAATAGAAATATTGCAGACACCCCTCGCCTCCTGAAGTATTCCACGATCGCTTCGTGATGCATCATAATCCCCTGTATGTGCATGTCCATGAAATTCTTGAGAGATCAAACTTCAAATTGTTTGCTATGGCTGATGGAAAAGTTACTTTTGAACCTTTTGGTAATTGTTACTTTTTAAGAAGTTGAAATGTTCACAAACAATTTTTAGGTATTTTTAGAAGCTGAAGCTTGCCAAACACACTACAACTTGAGTTTTTTGCACAGTTAGTAACAATTGGATTTGGTACATATGTAACAAACTAGAAAAAAGCTAGTGATAATTCAAATAACCCAGCCTTTCAATTGACTAGGTGCTTTTAAAGATTTTTTCAACTATAGAAAGTCAGAAAGACCCAGCCTCTCGCAGAGACTATATGCCCACAAAGAGCCGATTATGCTAAAATATAATCCCTCTGCCCTATTATGAACTCTCATTGAAAAATTTCATGTGGATTAAGATAATGATGAATTGTGTTGTTGAAATTTGTTTACTTTGAGATTGCTGTTTTTATTAAGATAAATGTGTGGAGCAGTGTAAAGGACCTTGTGAAAGTAGGGATGGACCGGGACGGGTCAGCCCGACCCGGGACCCGGTCCGACACGGTACTATGCAGGCCTGACCCGGCACGGCCAGCCGAGCAGTAACGGGACTGGGGCCCGAACCGGGGTAAAATGGGGCGGGCTTCAGGCTGCTGAAATGGTGGACCGGCCGGGCCCAATTTTTTGTTTTTTTTTGTTTTTCCATTGATTGGCTACTAGGTGGGGGTAGGAATAAATTCGAAAAGCCATTTTTTAAAAAAATTGTGACCGACCCGACCCGGTCCCGATACAAACCCAGGTCGGTACCGGGCCTGCAACCCAAAACCCCAGTCCCGCCCAATCCCATCTCGGCCCGGCCCAGGCTCGATCCACCCCTATTGAAAGTGATATCTTTCTCGTATTTTATATACGTCGTATTTTTCTTGTATAGTTAATGGACTTTAATTTTTGCTAATAATGTGGGCTTTAGGTCAATGGGTTAGTTAATTCTAAAGTCCATTAATTATATATAAATTGCCCTGAATAGGAGTAAAAACGTTTTGAAATTCGAAAATAGGATCTTCATGTTTTTATATCCTAAATATGAGTAATTTTTGTCAAGTCTGGAAAATTACCATGTTTAAAGCCTGGTAATCCCAAACTTTGTAAAAATTACTCCTATTTAGTAAATAAAAATCATGACATACCTATTTTGGAATTTCAAACATTTGTACTTCTATTTAGGAATTTTCTGTTAGTTATACAAGCAAATACTACGTATATAATACTCTCCTTGCCTCAAAGAACTAACTCCCTGTATTTCTATTTGAAAAGTTTCCAAATAAAGTCATCTTTATTTATTTGGTAAAAAAGATCTTATCAATTACTCTACTTACCTCAAGTTATAATGATTAGGGAGATTTCCCAAAATATGAGTAAATGAAGTTTGAAATTCCAAAACAGGACTATTTTGTTTTTATTCCCGAAATGGGACTAACATGGCAGTATTTACTGTCATCTTGTAGCCGTGACTGCCAAATAGTTGCAGTACAGTGCATTTAACATGACAGTTTTTATTATAATTAATGACAGTATTTTTCAATCATGACAATATTTTTCATACATGACAGTAATAACTCCTATTTCGGGAAGAAAAACATACTAGTCCTATTTTTGGAATTCCAAGTGTCATCTGCTCCTATTTTGGGTAATTTCCCTAATGATTATACAATAATAAACAATGTCAAATGATACATAGTATCTACAATTTTCTTAAAGTTTGCACTATTCAAACCACAAATTATTTAAAGCACAGAGGGAGTATATTTACGCTCCTTTCACCCAATATATATATGTATCACATAATCACATATGACTAACTGTACTAGACATTATCACAATCACTATTTTTTTTGGGACTTCACTAATAAATTATCACATATACATGACTCAATAAACGTTATTAGTGGGTCTCCATTTAGATTCTTCTGTAAGCTTGCCACCTCATCGCCACACAAATGTGAATACTCAATTATCCTATGATAAATACTTGTTCTATTGTGCATGTGCACAATCATTTTATATATACCGAGTAAACGAACAAAAATGATGTTTGTACACACTCTTATACACACTTTTGTACACACCTATGTCTGTGAAAGTTTTTTTTTTGTCTGTGAACATTGATTCACAGACAATGTTTTGCACAAATAAACAAAATATTGTCTGTGAACCGGATTCACAGACAAAAAAAAAGCTTCACAAACATGGTGTGTATAAGGTGTGTACAAGGGTGTGTACATCAAGAATGGTTGGTAAAAGAAATGGCCGGTGGTGCCGCTGACAACGTAGGTAATTGAGGTCGGTGCAAAAGGGAATAAATAAATAAATAAATAAATAAATACAACAACATTCAAACTTTAATCCCAAAAAATTTAGGGTCTGCTAACATGAATCGATCTATGATAGCGATGTCAAACAGAGAGACAGACAAGGAGGAGAAAAGAAAAGTAAGATAAAACGGATAATTTAAAGATAAATAAATACTCCGTATAAGATAACAATAACATAAGAATATAAGAAAGATAAAAGATAGAAAGATAAAAGAGCATAAAAAAGCTAGAAGATAAAAATAATATAAAAAGATAAAGAAGATAAACGATAAAAGAAAAGAAAGAAGAAATGTAGAAAAGACATCAATCGTTCACACGGATGTGCGCCATCCACATACGTAGTACTACTTATATAATAAAGGAATTGATATTTGAAAATGTAGATGATGTCGAATTGAGGTGGTTTATATGGCAATGATGTGATGAATATGTGTCTTTGAGGTGGCAAGTTTGCATGGAAATTCCTTGGTAACTCTATGACTCGAAAAAACAGTGATTAATAAGTTCGTGTGGTATCCCTTCCGGGAAATTTGTGTGGTTTGATTATGTATTTTTTTTGTATGTGGCCAAATGTGAGATTTAAAATTTTGGTTATATAACTTTCGACTATTATCATTATTGCTTTTATATTCAATTACTTGTCAATTTGGTCTTGTAACTATAAATCTTTGCAATTTGAGGGCTTTTTGATCGGAAAGTACAATCCCGACAGAAAACACCGACACCAGCAACATCTTTTCCGGTATACTATCGCCGGAAATTGTACTTTTTAAGGGAAAGTCCTTAAGTCACAAAGATTTATTAGTTACAGAATCAAATTTACAAGTGACTAAAATTATGGGGTTAATAATGAAAACGGTCGAAAGTTACGGAACAAAAATTAAAAATTTCGTGTGACTGAATTGATGAATTAGAGATAGTAGAAATATCATTTGATTGATAGTTTTATCATTTTAATTTTAATTATTTGGTATTTCGCCTTATTAATCCACACTTCAGATTTGAGATTTCTCCAAATCCGCACCTAGAAACTTTGAAGATCTCAAGTGGTTAATCATATTCTGTATCTTTATTAATTAATTTAACCTTATCCCTTCGAATTTTGTTTTGTTAGCTTTTACATTAATTACTATCGGTCATCATCATCATCACCCCAGTGTCGCAAAGGCTCCCACCTACGGTGGAGTAAGGGGTCGGATGTACGCAGTTTTACCCGTATACTAAAGCACAGAGAGACTGTTTCCGAATGACCCGTAGTGAAAATCGCGTCGAAAATTGCATAGGCTGACCGTTACTTCATAACAAAGAAGCGCAGACAGTTTAGTGAACCATTTTGCTTTATTCCATCACATACTCAAGCCAAAAAATAGTGAGTTTTGGCTCCATTGAAAATTATGGAAAAACATTAATTACTATCAGTGAGACTAAAAAAATTCACTATGGACCCTGTTGGAAATTAGAAATAATATTATTTGTGTGGGGGGATTAACAGATTAATCACCTGATTAAGCATCCATTTGAAGCCAACAGCAGCTGAGCACTCATTCTTTGAGGAACTTGTGAGAAAATCAAGATTGTAAACCTTATCTAAAGTCTTTATCACCATTGACACATTAGCCCTCCTTTGCCTTACATTGAAAATTTCTCCATTGGAACTCACATTTATGTGACTATTCAACAATGTCTCAAACCATCCACTCCCTGACCTCTGCATTGACAATATGGCAAAGAACCTCACAGGATTGCACTCACATTCCCCCCTGTTCATATTCTAACCATAATTAGAAATAGAAACCATCTTAAATCAACCAATCAATTACTTAATCCAAAATTTAATCTAAAAATGCTTAGCTATATATAACAACCTGCTAAATGTCTGAGGTTTAGGGAAGTGCTGCAAAGGAATCTCCCACTTTTGGACATCACTACTAGGAAAGGAACATTTGGGATCAATCAAGGGGATGCTTAGAGAACCTATGCTTCTTAAGTTAGTTGTTTGTCTCATACATATAGAAATAATGTATACTCCACACACCACTGCAAATAGCATGACCACCTGAATCAAATATCATGCATGATCATTCTTCTGATTAATGAATAAATAAATAAATAAATAAATAAATAAAATGAATACATAAATAAACAAAAAAAATAAACAAATAGATAAATATTTTTTTTCACTTTAAATGAATAAAAATCAAAATAAAATGAGAATTAATAATAATAATAATAATAATAATAATAATTATAATGATTAGAATAATAATAATAGTAATAATAATAATCTAGCAAAAAACTGCATTGTTGGAGAATCAAGAAAGCTAACCTGAGGCTTCCATCTAATAGAAAATTCCATAAAAATGTATGATCAGGAAGGAAGATAAAGAAACTATTGTTTATGGGTTTTAGTTGTATTCCTTCCTGTGCTTTTATTGACTTTGTACGTTAGAAAATGGAGGAGAAACAAATGGCCAGTCTAGAGAAAAAGTCTACTCATGATCAGGAAAAATATTTCTTTTTATAGATTAATACTACGTGTATGAAACTAGGTACGCAATGTACACCCGCACCGCACGGGTAGCTCAGTTGGTTCAGTGATGGGAAATTTGGACCAAGTTACCAATGTTCGAAACCCGCAGCGGCCGTGTGAAAGTCACAGAACCTGAAATAAGGCTGGGCTTCTGGTGCGCACGGGAAAAAGAACTACCATCATTGGGCCGACTGAATCACCGTGATTAACATCCTCCCAAAAATCTTGTCGGATCGGGTTATGGGGGCTCCTAGGGTGGGAGATTTCACCGTACCTTTTATGGACAACGTACGCAATGTACGATTACAATTCGTATTGGACTACGTAATATGAAACAAAATTAAAGATTGTCAAAGAAAGCAACCTAAATCATTGACTTAGTGGGCAGGGTGGTGATTTAATTCGATCAAAGTTTCTATCTGGAAACTTATATTTTTATTCTTCAATATTATTAAATTGCTGTGCTTGTCAATAATATAATATCAATGATTTTTAATTAACAGAGAAGAGTTCAGAAAAAAATACCAGGGGTGCGTTTATCGGGTTTCACTCACTTTCACTTCGTTTTTTTTCGTTTTGAAATGGATTGGGAGAATTATTATCAAATAAAAATCATATTACATTCTACTTTTCGGTTTGGTTTGGTTTGGTTTAGTTCGGTTTGGTTCAGTTTGGATTTGACTTTTTAATAATATACTCCGTATGAAGGTTTTATTGAATTTTTTTAGTGCGGTTCGATTTCGATCAGAGACGTCTTTAGAACTCCGGAGGTCCCAGACAAAAAATACTTGATATTGACATATTATATTAATGTGATTTTTGCAACACAAAAGACAAAAAAAAGATAAATTGAATTAAAATACACAATAAAAGAAAAAAAGCATATTCAAAGAGTAGTGAACATCAAAATTTAAATGTAAACATACACAAAATGGACGAAAACTTACACTTCCTCCGCCCCAAGTAAAGATTATCATTTGTCTCTTTTGGACGTTTCATTTAAAAAGTTCTCATTCTCATTTTAATTTTAGAATATAGTTAACTCTTTTATGACAATATAGCCATCAACAACAACAACATTCAAGCCTTATTCCCAAAAATTTTTGATATTGAATTGATGATAAAGGAAGAAAAAAGTAAGATTGATTTAAAGTCAAACAAACTTTACTGAATTTGATATGAGACAATCTTAGTAGTACTTCTAAATTTGCCCCACTAAAATATTTACAAAAATATAAAAAATATAGTAGTCAACAAAAAACTAAAGTTCATAAATATAATAATAATCAGTGAAAATAAAAAATAACTAAATAAGTACGACCATCAAACTAATTAAACATTACTTCAATAATTCATTAATATGGTGGCTAGTTGGAGTAGTTGCTACGAGCCTACCATTTAATTAGAGCTAAAATCACTTTATCTATCTTTGGGTTACCAATATATCAAAAACATGATATCTTTGCTTCCAAACTACTCAAATTAAAATAGATAATTTATACTATAAATAATTTTTTTGAGGCCCCACTAAAATATGAGGCCTAAGGCATTTGCCTTGGCCAACTCCCGCAAATTATATGCTACACCAGGGTGTAGCTGTACACCCGGTAATTTTGTGATTATTTACAAGTTTCTGGCCATTTATTATCGATCCATTTAAACTCTGTGCACAACTACTGTCGTCGATGCTCACCGGAGGAAGGGGTGCGGATTTCGCCATCGAATTCATCGGAAGAAGCAGCAACATAGAGGTTCTGTAGTTCGATCGTCCAGATCTAGATCATCGTTGCTGGAGGTGGATTGTCCAAATCGATCGACAAGAAACGAAGCTCCAGCTTGTTGACCTTCATGAGCTGAATTGCTAGATAGATGGATGGATGGATGGATGGATGGATGGATCGATCGATCGATAGATAGATAGATAGATAGATAGATAGATAGATAGATAGATAGATAGATAGATAGATAGATAGATAGATAGATAGATAGATAGATAGATAGATAGATAGATAGATAGATAGATAGATAGATAGATAGATAGATAGATAGATAGATAGATAGATAGATAGATAGATAGATAGATAGATAGATAGATAGATAGATAGATAGATAGATAGATAGATAGATAGATAGATAGATAGATAGATAGATAGATAGATAGATCATCCTGATTCAAATGTTTAGAATTAGGAACTTCAATCGGTTGAATGATTCAATCAGTTTACTTCTTTCTCTTTTTCATATATTATACCAAGCACATTAGAAACGAGTTTTACCTTAAACTCAAATGAGTAAAATGCCTAAAAAATGAACATACACAAATGAACTTTTGAATTTTTGAATGCTCATTTTGTAAATTATATATGTTCATTTAGTATCTCTGTTATGCTCATTTTTAAAATGTTTTGGCAATGCAATTTCAAAAATTTCATATTACATTAGATTTGTATAAGAATTGATTATAATACGACAAATCATAATACTCAATCACAAATTCTAATACTCAATAACGGCGTTTTATGCTCACTGAAAATGTTTTGATGTTCAACGAACAAAACTTACAATTTTCATATCAATCAATGCTCATCTTGTAAGTTACATATGCTCATTTGTATAGGTCTGATACTCATTAAAAATTCATTAATGCTCATTTAATAGAAATAATGATTTTCATTAATCTCAATAGATGAGGTTTGATGCTTAATGAAAATGTCATGATGCTCAACTAACAAAGCAACTAACAAATTCATTAATACTCATTTTGTAAGTTATTTATGCTCATCTGATACTGATCATATGCTCATTTTATAAATGTCATGTAAAAAATTCATATTTCAAAGTATCATGATACTCAATATTATACTTTTAATACTCAACAGAATAAATATAATGCTCAGTAAAAGTTAATAATGAGTGCTCATTTGACAGAAACCATGATTTTCATCTCAAAAGAAGAGGTTTGATACTCAATGAAAATTTTGTGACGTTGAAGTAACAAATCTTACGATTTTCATATTAATGAACATGTTGTAAGCTATGTATGCTCATTTAGTACCGATGTTATGCTCATTTTAAAATGTCATATCAATACATATTTCAAAAACATCATACTCCGTATTACATTAAATTTGCATATTGAAATTTATAGGAGTGTATTATAGATATAATTTAATAAGTTTTTATAAAAGAAAAAATAAGAAAAAAATTGAATTAGAAGATATGAAGCAAGGATCATGAAACTCAATGTTACCCTCCTAATATTCTGTAAAATAGCTTAAATGCTCATTAAGCGTACACTATTGCTCATTTAGCGGAAGTCATGACTTTTTACTTAAATTACAAAAATGCCACCAATTTTTTTTGGGCTTGTAACCGTTATTGGACTGTCTTACTTAATTGGATCGGGTCTACGTACACCCGGATGTACCATATAGGCTCCGGCCGACTCCCCATATGGCCGCCCCTGGTTTCGATCTATCGATTTTTATCGGTTTCGGTTTGATTCAATTTAATACGATTTGAAAGAAATTGCATATGGTCTGATTTCGGTTTGATTTAGTTCTATTTGATACGGTGCAGTTAAACCAAACCAATATGTCCACCTCTAAAAAATACTCTTGTAGTGTGTGCTAAAACTTAGGTTGTGTGCTAAAATTAGTATAAGAAGGATTTACACATTACTAAGGTTTAGTCTTATTAATAATAGTAGGTTAAATGTTATAATATGAGTAGTTAATGTCATCTTGTAAAATATTGTGAATTATGATATCATTAATACTGTCACATTATAATGTGACATTATGGTAATGCCAAAATATGATAGTATTGCATATCACTCTACCGTAAGAAAATTTTACTTACAAATATTTTTGAGATTGGGATACGTATAATGAGGTTAGGGACCGCAGGGTTTGTTTAATTTTATTAAGATGTATTTTTATACTAAGATGTATTTTGAGCTATATATTATTAATTAATCATTTACTTGCCATATTATAAATAGAAATAATTACATGTCTATGACTAAAATATATATTGTTTACAAAAATGTTACTAGTGAGTTTTCAAAAAAAATGTTACTATTGACTAGAGTAGTAATGAAATCATAGTAATTTATGTTCATTTTACAAACTTAAATTATTAATTATGACACTACATTGTAGTAACTATTAGTCATATTTTTGTAAATATATTTTATGTTGGTAATACTTTTGAAAAAATCACTTCTAAATATGGTCATACGTTTATCATATCCATTTAAACTCCAAGAGTAATACGAGAATCTCAGTCACTTTTTCTTATTATAATTTTTGTGATTCATCTAAGGTTTGCAATTTAATTGTCTAACAAGTAACAACTCTTTTGTATAGTAAGAAGTATTTTTACATGTTCAGTTGTTCACTACTTTACTCTAAACTCTAAAGTATTCTAGAATGGTTTGAAATTACGAAAAATATCTATAAAGCACAAGTACGAGTGCCGACACCGTACTTCTGCGCATAAGTTGATATTAGAGGTGCAATAAGCCGAGCTGGTCAAAACTCGAATCAAATTCGGTCAAACTCGAACTCGAGCATAGCTCGAGCCGGCGCGTTAAACAGTCGAGTCATAATAAACGAGTCAACTAATTTTATGCTCGCTAGCTCGCGAGTAATAGAATTATTATACGCTTAGTATTGTACTTTACATTAAACTCTCTTTAATATAAATATATCTGTCATGACCCCTTAGGGAGTAACCTTTTCCATTATTCTCACATGTTATCAAGAGCACATTAATTTTTATTCCCGATCCTCTCTCTCTCACTAAACCCTAGCGCAGCCGCCGTATTCCCTTCGGCGTCGTCCCATACTTCGCCGACCTCCTGTTCTCTTCGGCGTCGCACACCGCAGCACCATGTCG